ATGTAAATTAATAAATGAATTTATAATTTAATATTTATCTATTATCAATCCATTATTATAAAGAATATATATAGTGTATATGGATTATGTATGGTATATGTGGTATATATGGAAAATGTTGTATATAAAGTATAGATTTCTTAATTTTAGCTCTCATTTTCAATCAATGAAATGTAAACTAAAAACTCTTTACAGCCTGTACAGCTATACCATATAGACCGTCAGTCACTTTTTCAATAAGTTTGCCTCATATTCCGCAAGCCCTTGCCACACACTAAAGTGCTTAGCATTACAAGTCTTTGGCTTTTATCTTTAACAAGTTTTGATTTTCAGTCCAAAATGTTAAGCTTTGTTGACTTTTGCCTATTGAATTATTGACTGCATGCGAAGTAAGGCAAAAATGCAATATTTGCTGCACTTACACATGCCAAATTATGCAACACATCCCAAATTCGTGCTCTGTATTCGTATTTATCAAAAACTGTTGCAAAATATTTGCAATAGCTGTGCAAACATTCAGTTTATTCAAGACTCAATATGTATGTGTGTGTGTGATTGTGTGTGTGTGTTAGTTAGTGTATACCTTAAGTCTGCATTACATGACTTTCACAGCTTGTGCACAGCTTTTGGCAATTAGTTGATGAGCCTGGTCTTTGGTTTCGATGCTTATGCCAGACACGTTCTGCTTTAACTGCCTCTTAAATTATCGCACAGTTTGCATAGAAATTCAATTATTATTCTCTCTCACTCTCTCTCTCTCTCTTTTTCTCATTTTCTGCTGCTCTGTTAAATTGCTTGACAATTTTTAATAACCATCATAAAAATGCCACGCATTGCCCGGCTGGCAGCTGCGACTACTGAAGCTACTGCTGCTGGCTCCTGCTCCTGCTGGCTCCTGCTGGCTGCTGCTGCTGCTGCCATGATAGCGCGTTGACATACCTGTTTGACGCAATCGATCATAATACCTTTTGATATCGTTATTAAGCTTTTTAGCGCACATTAAATTTACATTACACTAAATGCTTAATGACCAAAAAGTATGCAAGTATCCCACGCTCGCACTCATTTGCTTCGTTCCCTGCCTACTTCTTCATTTTTTTGCGTCCATTTTGGGCCATGGGCATAACTTTTTCGCTAAGACCATGAAATTTATACGCTTGTTTGGCTCAAAGCAGCCAAATGGCTGCAGCGTGTCCATTAAAATGCGAGCGAAACTTGAAAATTGATGCAACGCCGTTATGCGCCCACTTGCCAAGCTGCCCTGCAAAGTATGCTATTAAAATTGTACCTGGCCAAGAGCGAAATTACTAGCAACAAAAAGGCAAAGAACAACAGGCTAGGACACAGACAGAGAGAGGGGCAGACAGACAGTGGGGCTATGCAAAGGGCAACTAGTAAACGCACACACGCACACACACATGCTCCTTCACCAGCTATCACACAGACTCCACTCATAAAAGTTTTGCATATTAATGAGCTTTCCCATTGACGTGCATAAAAATGTTTTCAAATGAAAAATGAAAGAAAAATATTGAAAAATAAAAAAAAATCAAGCATTAGACGCACTTTTAACTTTTTGAGCGAACCGTACACAAACTGTCAATAATAACTGTAGAAAAACTAAGTAATAAAAAACAAAGGCTAAGACATATATGGCGAGGGTAGTTTAAAAATATGCCAGAACTTGGTGTAGTAGTTGCTTTGAATCATTCGACGAGCTGCTTGCTAAATGCAACTGAATCGAAGAGGTGGATATAAGGAAACTTCAATTCTTTGGATATAGTTTCTATAATATTCAATAGATACAGGTCGAGGTCAACACTTGCTTTCAGCTTCAGCTCTTTGATAGACTTATAGATCATGCCAAGTCAACTATTCTACAGCAGAATGTGTGTAGTTCAAGTCTCTAACTTTTATATATTGCGAAAATCGCACTTGTAGTCAAATGGGTTGCTGAACAGGCAGCGAAAATACGGGCAGACGGCCAGACGAGGACATAGACTGACGGGCAGACAGACAGCCAGACGAGTGAACGCCCAGGCAGACGAAAACGCAGACTGACGGAAGGACTTACGGACGGACGAACATACACAGAGGCATACGGGAACACACACACTGACAGAACGCATGCGGACAGACTGGCAAAGAGACAAACGGGCAACTAGACGGAAAAACGGAAATAGAGATGGACAGTTAGACAGGCAGACAGTCAGGCGAACAGACGGAACTAGATTGAGTATACATATTTGATAGGGCAGGCCACGCCTCTTTTTATATACCTTGACAGCTTATATAGGGCAAAGGAGAGTTTTTTTATATACATATATACAAGAGATATAATTAAATAAATGATTTTTCTTTGGTTCTACCATACTTTTAGACTATATATACATTCATTTATATACACATATATACATACATACATGATTATATACATAATTGTATATAATATATTATGTTTATGTATTTCTATATATTTGTGCCAGCATCTGCTCTGTACATTTTAATAATCTGTATAGCCTTGACTCACGAGTGTGTTTAAAGAGTGCTGTGAGCTGCTGTGAGTTGATGTGAGCTGATGTGTATTTGAGATGAGTAAATGCGCTGGGATCTGCTCCATTGGGCACAGCTGTGCTCGCCTTTGGCTATTGAAGTTTCCTTTCATTTCACTTTCATTTGAGCTAAGCTCCTATGCAATGCATTGATTGCATCTCTAGGTTTTTGGTCTATTTCATTTGGTGAGTAGCTGCTTTGATTCCCAGAGCTGGCCAAAAATGAGTTTCAATGGAATTGGCTTGAATTCAATGAGTTTGCCACCTCAAGAACTTTAACATGACTGCAGCTCAAAATTCATTTCAATGATGACCTTCAGCAATCAATCACTGAATGAGTGAATGATTCAATCTGTATAATCAATGAAAAAGCAGAGCATTATAGAAGGAAGCAGCTGTATAAGTAACGCCATTAATATAAATATATAGCAGATAATTAAAGATATGTTAACGACTCTCAATCAATCAATTAATCAATTAGTCAATCAGCTGATAAAAAAAAAAACAAAAACTATTCCCATTAAAAATAATGAGATAAGTATAATCGGAAAATCTCATTAAGATCGAAATAAAATTGCAATCTGACCGCAGCTCTAGGCACTTGGGTGATTAAATTGGAAAAAAAAATAATATAAAAAAATATGGGCAAGGAGCTCTCATATATAAAACTTTTGAAAATTGTGTTAAATTTAAGCACTCCGCATGCCAGCTGAAACAGACGAATATTAATTTTTAACCATTTCGCTGGCAATGTTTTCGCGCTCGAGTGCGCACACGCAAACAAATTAAGGCATATATAACGAATATTCAATCTATATATATGTATGTATATGTATGTATATGTATATGTATATGTGTATATGAGATGCCCAACAAGGTCGCTGCTGCCTGATGCCTTATGTTGGCTGGTAGCTGCAGCCCGTCTA